AAAAAGTGTGGACACACAGAAACACACATAGCCTCTTGCCAGTATGCGTTTTTATGCGTTTTGTGCTGTGCAACAGCAAAACAAAACGCATATTGTCACGGGGTTGTCTGTATGTGTGTGTGTGTGTGTGTGTGTGTATGTGTGTCCCACATTTTGTTCCGCACTTTCAACTCGGGAACTACAAAAGCTAGGCGGCTGAAATTTAGTATAGTGTTCCCCGCCAACGTGTGACGCGGCAAATTTAAATTCAGCCTTCCCGTACCCCCGGGTAACACGTACGATCCCGTAAAAGTTTTGGCGAGTAAAATCATTATCTTGGGAATCACGGAAGCTAGAAAGCTGAAATTTTGTGGGTATGTCCCACCAACACGTGCGACCCAGAAAACTCAAATTCATCCTTCCTGTACCCGCGAGTAACGTGTACAGCGCGGTGAAACTTTTGGTGGGTAAGCTGTTATTTCGGGAACTGCGGAATTTAGAAAGCTGAAATTTTGGGGTAATGACTCCTGCCCCTTAAGGCCTCGCAAATTCCGTGTTCCCACGCTCTCGGGCATCACCTACCTCGCCCTGAAACTTTTGGCGTAAATTATTATCTCAAGAACCACGGAAGTTAGGAAACTGAAATTTTATGAAATTTCCTGCCCACATGCAATCCACAAAATTTAAATTCAGCCTTCCGGTATTCGCGGGTAGCACGTACTCCCCCGCAAAATTTTTGGTGGGAAAAATTATTATCTCGGGAACTACGAAAGCTGGGAAACTAAAGTTTTTTGGGCATGTCCTCTGCCCACGTGCGACCCAGAGAACTTAAATTCAACCTTCCTGTGCTTGCGGGTAATACGTAAGGCTTCTTAAAAGTTTTGGCAGGTAAAATTATTATCTCAGGAGCCGCGGAGGCTACGGAGCTGAGATTTTATGGGTATGCCCACTGACCACGTGCAAATCAGAAAATTTACATTCAGTTTTCCCTTGCGCTTCGGTATCGCGTATGGCCTGTGTAAGTTTTGGCGGAAAATTATCTCGGGAACCATTAAAGCTAGGAAGCTGAAATTTCAGGACCATATTTTCTGCCGCTGCAGTTATTTTACAAACTCAAATTTATCTCCGAAGTTGCAGTGGTTTTACGTAAGACCACGTGAGAATTTTGATGTGAAAGTCACTAGCCCGGAAGCCGGAAAACTAGAAGGTTGAAATTTGGAAGGATGTCCATGTTTTCAAATTCAGCTTTCACGTACCAGCATGTGAAATTTTCAGTGGGAAATTCCTTACCTTAGGAGCCAGACAGCTCATCTACTACTTTTATGCGTTTTTTGCAGCTATGCAATGCAGAAAACGCATATTGAT